TTACCCAAAGTATCTCCAAATCTCGCTCTATCAGATTATTATTTGCTCCGCTCCTTGGCAAACCTCATGATTGGTGGCTGTCTCGATTACAGTAAGTAGTTTAAGCGCTGGTTAGATGACTTTCTTGGGACCCGGCGCGCTGCCGTTTGAGAAGTTGAGGCTGAGAAGCTAACAAAGATGTGCCAAAAGGCCGTGCGCTGCCACGAGGAATATAATTATGATTAACTTTTACTGTAGACTGATGATTTTGTTCGCTTATGAAACGCTACGAACTTATGGAACGACCTAATAGAAGCTGTCATGAGTGGACTCCAAGCGAGCTTTTGTTTAGTTGAGCATCAAAACTGAGAGTTTCTTAGCAGAGATGCACTGCCGCATGCTCTTGGGACCTTCCTTTTTTCGAGACCAAGCTCCCTTTGCTTCTTTGTTATAGGAAGCAGAGGTATGATTTCTGTGAAGTAAAAGCGGTCAAAAGTGGATTTCAAGCGAGCTTTTGCATAATTTAAAACTGAAAAATTCTTAGCCTAAATACGCTGCCGCATGAAGTCCTTGGAGCTTTCCTTCCTTTGAGAGTTGTGCTTTTTGAAGCAGAAGTACGATTTGGCAAAGTAAAAACGGCCAAAGTGAATTCCAAGCCTTTCTTGTGAGATTCAGGCTCCCGCCTGGGTGCCGAAGCCAAGCCAGCGTTTCGATCGGTACACGTGTATTTCGTTGGGGTGGGGCTAGCTGAACTAGTTCTCAGCAGGTAGATGTCCCCAACGAAATACACGTGTATCGATCGAAACGCTGGCGTAGCGCTGGCATGGCTTCGGCACTCTGGCGAGAGCCTTAGCACTGAAACGTAGAAAATCATATCAAAAATGTCCTGCCGCGTGAACAATGAGTCTTTTCTTCCACTAAGACAAGATTCCTCTGCTGTGTTGTTTTTATTCGCAAAAGTAGATCACAAAGTAGATACCGCCAAAAAAATGCAGCAAGTTTCTGTGAATTTTCACATCAAAATCTAGTTGATCGAAATGTGTTTCCGTGTGAATTTGTTGGGTCCTTCCTTCCAGCAGACCGAGCTCTCTCTGCTCATTTGTTTTTGAAGGCAAACAATATTTTCACAATATATATGAGCATAAAGTAAGTATTTAGCAGGTTTTTGTCAAATTCAGCATTTGGTCCTAGAAATTTAACAAAATGTTCCTAGAAATTCAGCAAAATGTTCCTAGAAATCTAGCAAAATACACTACCGCATGAATGGGCTGAATTCTTTTTTTCCAACAAGACGGAGCTCCCCCTGTTTTTTAATATTTCCTGAGGCAAAAGCAATTTTTTTTCAAAAAGTAATAGCATCCAAAAGTGAGGTTCAAGCGAATTCTCGTAAAATGGTTATATTTAATGTTCAAAATGATAACGTCTATTTCGAAAACTAATGATTGTAAGAAGTTGAGCAGGATAGGAAGCAAAATGGAGCGACAGTTTTTCAAATTATGGTGGCAATGGGGGCCAGGCATTTGCACTAATTCGGTAATGTGCAATATTTTGTTGTTGTTTGAGCGCTGTGCATGACACGCACTTGATCCCTTCTTTGCTTGTTTATGAATGAGGAGGTGATCTTTGACGATTGACGCCCGCATTACCCATATTTGCTCTTTCCATGCGGAGCAAGCTCTATAATTTGCACTTAAAGTGCATACAGTCTGGAAACTGAGTACGACTCCACGTCGTTGCCATGCAAACCATATGGATCTTTCTTGAGTACATGCGCTCACCACTACTCTCTCGGCGTTGCTCTGACATCCTTGTTAGTTCATGTATCGCAGTTATATTTCGTCGCCGCATAATCTGGGCCCTCGTTATCGCGAATCTGCTGTTAAGACTGTAAGAGAACACATAGCAGCAGTAAAGCATATGGAGATAGAGACTACCCTCGTCGCATCGCTTTTGCAGTTACCAGATTATATTATAGTAAGATAAGATCCTGCAGCAAAGAAAGACGGAGATTTGTTCCCTGGTGTAAAGCTAAGTTGAGCCTTGCTCTACAGAATGGTACGCTCGGTGAAAGAGACAAGTTATTCACGGATCAGACAGTGTTAGCATTTTTTGCGACATCCTGTATGAGTTGCTGCATTTCCTTTTGAGCAAGAAGCCGAGAAAACTAAAATAAAAAAACTAAAGTTTTCGAGTTTCTAAAAAAGTGATGATGTGCTTTCATCGCATAAGTGAGTGTGTACTACAAGAGCACTTAGAGATGCAAAATCAAAGCTTTCTACATGCCTGAGTTACAAAAAATATCGCAATCAGCTTTTTTCGCTTAAGTTTTTCAGTGTCAAAATCAGCATTTCCCAAAAAGTAGAGCTTTTAGAAAGCTAGAAATTTGCTGATGTCTTCTAAAGGCTTGTAATATACATTTACTTGTGTGGGAAGAGCACAATATCCTTTTTTCAGAAGCTTGAAAACTTTAGTTTTCTCCGCCTCTAGCACAGAAACGACTACAGCAACGGCATGTATAAATGCGTTATGGGGAACGTGTATGCGTGAGCGAGTGAGAGATCCGGATGTTTTCCTTGGACATGATATAAACCTTTTTTGAATATTTCGGGCATCCGAAACTTCTTGAATTTCGGCTTCCAGCCCAGAGTGTATTGAAGTTGTGAACGCTTACATGCTATTTTATAAAGCTTGCTTTGCTCTATCTAGCGGTATCCCGTATTGCTAGGATTGTAGAAGCTCATGATTTGATGCGGTTTAAAGGCACGCCTATCCATATTTTCAACTTTTGTGCTTTCATCGCTTCCAGGCCTTCTAAATGCCCTGATTTCGAATACAGAGTCGATCCGCAACCCCCCCCCCCTGAAAAATCTCCGTTTTGGAGAAGCTGAAACGAGCGCAGGCGAGAGAAAGCCTGCAAAGTGGGGAAGGGAGGGGGGGGGGGGACAGCTGGGTGAAGTGGGTGGAGGACAAACAGTATGACAATAGCGGGAAATTGTGATAATTACTGCGATCCGTCCCAGCTTTCTATTTCATACAATTTGATACGTACTGTTTTCGTTGAGAGAAATAAAACTTTTTGGTTACTTTGCACAATTCGCAAGTCTAACTTATACAATGTTTACGCTTCTGATACTACTTAGGACGAATTGTCTGATTTCGGCACCTTCTAAGAAAAGTAGCTTTAACTCCTTGATTTGACACTATTACTGTGGCGTGATCATCAAAGGTGCATATGTACACAAAAACTGTGCTCGAGAGCCAAAAAAAAAGAAAAAACAATAAAAACCATGGGTTTTCATGTGCTTGCGAGAAAAGCTTACGAGACATGAATTGAAAAATCTTCTTTGAGCGGAACAAATTAGCAGCGGCAAGAAAAGTTTCATTTAAGTTTTTTGCTATTGAAAAGTCCCTTTCTTGATGTGTAGATTGACTACAATTGGAAATTGAAGAACAACTTATGCAGGTCATGAAGAATAGTTTTGAAGCCCAAGAGTGCGAAATAAATCAGAATATAAGATCCATGACCGCCTGAGGTCTTACTTTATAACGTAGAATTCATGCAATGTAACAACGCAATGTGGTGAATATCTCTTTCTGTATTTTTATTTGATTTATGGATATCATTCTGCACAGATGACTTCATTTTGAGGCTACAGTATAAAGAGAATAATCGATCGCTTTTCTCCAGCTGCGGTAGGATTTTTCAGTATAAGCGCCATCAAGGATTAAGCTCTCTTTGGAAAATTAAAACTAAAGAAGAATGTGAAATGTGGGGTTCACACATATAGTTGATTCGTTGACCGCACGGACTGGACATCATTGCGGAACATGCGCCGCGAGGTAGAACGCATGCCCCAGTACAGATCCGCCATTGTACAAGTCTGCTCCTGCGACAATTTAGCCGCCCCGCGCACGGTCCGCAGCGTTTGAGCAGTCGTGCGGCTAACGAATTGACGATACGTTGTTTTTGATACCAGGTTTTTTATGCGTTCTTCATGCTTTTCAATGGTGTAATCGCATTTTTGAGGAAAATTTGGAGCAGCAATAGCGGTGCTATGTCTGGCACGCATCACTGTAAAGCGCGTTTTTCATATTTAAAAGTCACCTTTAAATTAGCAAGGTTGAATTGCTTGGCCATAGTTTTGAGACAAAATATGGCCGTTAAGAACACTCATAATTACCTACAAAGTTTGACGTAATTCTACACTAGTAAAGAGTTAGTGATTAGTTCTATACTGTGAATGACAATGACTTAAACTTCTACGGAATAATACCCGCAGTCTTGTCTAGGAGCATCGTGCTTTGAGATACCCTTGTATTAAACGTTTTCACTTTCTTCGTTGTGAACATTTTTCAAAAACATTTTGACATTTGAATAAGACGAGCTGAAGAGTGAATGAGAGGTTGTGAATGGAAACAAAAAATTTGCCATCATCGTAATATACCTAGATTTGATTAATAATTTGGCCACCTTGAGTACAAATTATTATTCGAGTGCGGATCCTGAATAAAGTTGGTGGAATTCATTTTTATTTAGAAAATAAAGTAAAATTCAATGTTCTAGTTGCATTCGTAATTAGCTGATTTGTTCTGCGCATAGCAGATTTTTGTTTTCCAGTTGCTCCTTTTGTGAGTTTATGAAAAATTTCACGTTACAATAAGAAAAATCCAGGGATTTTGAGCAGCTAGCACAGAAACACTATGACAGGAACCTCGAAACAGCATTTCAAAATTTGCAGTTTATGGAAAAAATTTATGTTAATAAAGTTTTGAGGTTTCATGCAAAGTTGCCAGCGTATTCGGAAATACTGTCATAGATAACCTTTACGTAACAATTTTTATCCCAATCGGATAAGTTTTATCTGAACTTGGTAGCTTTTAGTTGTTTGTTAATAGCGTTATTGACAGTTCATGAACCCTGTGTTCACGTTATGATTCAACAAAATCTGAGACCTTGCATATCTGAGCTGTGTGCGGTTATAGAAACAAGTTGTACTACCTTTGCCATAAAAATCTCAAAATTATTTACGTCTGAGCTGATAGATGAATGGTTCGTTAGCCGCACCAGTAGCAGCATTTGAAAGTCCGAGCATTCCGTCCGCGTACTAAAAGTAAATAAATGAGCACTGATTTCCAATAGTATATGTGCTCTTTACCAGATCCTCATGCCCTGTCATATTAGTAGCCATTCCGAAAATAACAGACCCTTCTAGGTCGGATGAATAAGAGTAGCCAATGTCTTCAAGGCTCTATAAAAGTATATTAAGGTTTTGTAAAAAAGCAAAATCGTCAGATTTCTAGCCTTCCTCTGAACTTGCTCCAAAAAAGGCAAAGGTTTAAGTCAATCCACGAGATTGCTACGAGTTTCAGGCGTAATGATACAAAAGAGTTCTGATCTAACAAGGAAAGCGTGTTCAGCCGAAGTGGCCCTTCCAGATGAGACCCACACTGCTTTGAAGAGCATTAGGTGATGATTCCAAATCTGCCTTCTGAATCTGCCAAGCGCCTCTTGACGCCGAGTTTATTGGCGTTTTTCCGGTCAAAAGATTGAACGCAAAACTGGAACTAAATAGCCCATAATTCCTCAAATGGTTCAGTGTCAAGTATCAGAGCCGTTTATGTAATGGATAGATTTTGTCTAATATGCTGATATAGTCGTCCTCACCCCACTAGTCGGTCGGTGGTCGAATTTGAATTCGAACTGGAGCAGACCAGCCGCGGCAGAGCGCGACAGACCGCCCCTTAGCCAACCGCTTACACATTAGCTTTTCTCATATTTTCTTCGTATTTCTTTTCTATCTTTCGTACTGCGGCGATGTTCTTTATCAGATATTTAGATTTCGCACCGCTAACTATTGCTTTGTGCAGTTGTGCTCGTTTGTTTTACATTTTTCTCCAAACCGGAAAGAAGGATGCGATTGGAAATTTTTGGATGTGAAATCTCTTTTTTCCGGTAAGTGACATATACACGAATGTGATTTGATGAAATTTGTCAAGTTTTCCGTTAGGATATGTACTCTAGACTATTTTTTGTAATAAGGAATTCTCTCAAAAAGTGTTTGTTTCAAAGAGTTAGCGGTACGAAACCTGAAAGTCTGATTACGAACATTACCGCAATACGAGAGATAGCAAAGAAACACGAAGAAAATGAGAAAAAAGCTTGTGCAAGCGGTTGGCTGACGTCTGCCGCGCTCCGCCGCGGTCAGCCTGCTCCAGTTCGAATTCAAATTCGACCACCGACCGACTAGTGGGGTGAGGACGACTATAGTTAACATTGCTTTATCTGAGCGCTGAAAAGATTGTAACAACCGATTTTGCCTAAGATCTGCACTCATTTTTCGCCTCAAGAAACGGTCATACGTGCAATTTAATCACGTGCAATACTCTTCAAAGCACCATGATCTCAATCTCATCGAAAAGGCCACTTCTCAGACAATCGAAGACATACCTCCGGAGGGCAAATGGCGGGGTCTGCCACTTCGTGCTCCGAGGCCCTCCCATTTTACCCATTTTGGTGCTCCGGAACTCCTCCAAATCTGGCCCACCTCCGGAGAAGAGATTTCCGAGCCCGGGGAGGGATCCCATTCGCCTTCTTGTAACGTCACAAGAAGGCGAATAGGACCCCTTCTCGGGGCTGTGACGTCACAAGAAGACGAATGGGACCCCCCCCCCCCCCGGGGGCTCGCAATTCTTTGCTGCGGAGGTGCGCCAGATTTGGAGAAGCCCCGGAGAACATGGGTAAAATGGGAGGGCTCCGAAACACTGGCAAATCCCGCTGGGCAGAGCCCGCAACCCTTCCACTTTCGCTCTGGAGGTATCCCATCGACTGTCTGAGTCGATGGGATAGTCCCACTAAACACGCTTCCCTTGCAAGCTTTGCATGTTGAAGTTAATTCATTGACTTATTGTGACCCATCTATCAAATCGAGATGGCCTACTCTCGCATCGTCTCTTCCCAGCACGCCATTTATTGTTCCAAGCCGGTTTTCCAATGTCCAATTTGTGCCAACTCGTTGAAAGTGGTGTTGTGCAGATGGGTCATACTTTCGCCTGCTTCCACAGCCTCTAAAATTTAGAAACATCTGAATATGCGCATCCTTGTATGAAATGCTAATGCATATGTTTACGTTATTGCACTAAACCTATAAGCTTCCTTTCTTTTATTGCCTCAAAACTTTTAAGGTTTTAATAGGTTGCAACCCTTTTCTTATTTGAAATTTCACCACTTTTTATCGAAGAACTAAAGATCAGAAAGTAGGAGCAAATTGGCTGCATCTTTTATTTTCACTTTTATGAAGAAAAATCTTCAAGCATATTGTCGTCGCTGTTGCGGCATCTGAATGCCATTCTGGCATCAATGATCACAAAGTTATTGCTCAAGTCTACACTCATTAAGGACACTTTTGCTAAGAGCAATGGCATGTGTAAGCCAAGGCTGATTCTGTAGACCAGTCCCTCTAAAGCTCAGAGAAGCATATCCATAGTCTATGAGTTTCCAGCACTTTTTTTCCACATAGTTATCCTTCCCAAATCACGTTTCGCCAAAATGTTTCTTGCTGACCGCAAAGAATCTTATAGAGTGCATGTCTGTATTTATGTGTGTGTGTCTGTCTGTAGGTAGGGAGCATTCAAGGGATCAGGACGATGGCGCTGCGCCACCGCGCTCGACACGCACTTCTGGCAGCCTCGTTTTGTTGGTTTTCATCATCACTACTCGAATGGTTTTTCTGCTTACGTTTGATGGTACTTAGACAATGGAAGTGACTAAGCTGATTGGGTGACGCCTTTTTGCATGAATGTATGCTGTTGTGGGCAGACGGCAATCAAATCCGTCGCCACGATTTTATAAATGACCTGTATATATGTACGCGTGTACGTATGTTTCAAAGTTCCATTTCAGTTATTCCGGACCAAAATTTGCGCACTACACTTCGGGGCAGGACACGTGTCATAGACTAGTTTCCGTTTAAATCAAATTCGACTTTATCGATTCTGCAAACTTTGCTACGGATGTGGAAATTGGAACAGAGGCGCAGTGATAACGGTCAATACGTAAAGTTGGCTACAAACATATGGAAGCTAGGAACAATCTCACTCAGAAGTTAAAGGAGCGCCATTTGGAAATTACACATCGGCAGAAAAAAGTTTAGGAGTGATAGAACGTTGACTATAATTTCGTAAATTGTCCGAGTACGGTTCTAACGGCGTGTTTTTCATGCCTGTGCTTCTTCCTCAACACGCTCACAAAGCACTTTGTTTACAACTTTTCGCTTGGGATACTGCTCAGGGACTCGCGCCGTGCGGGCGGCCAGCGACGACCTTACAATCGCTCGCTGGTGTGTGCGATTGTAGGGTCGTCAAGGGCCGTTGGCACGGTTAACGTGGAGCGCTCGCACGGTCTCTAATGTTCGCCGTTTGCGCGGAGAAAGTCGGCCGCTCGCTTGCGCTTGGAGTAGATGTATTTGCGATATCTTGACCATTTTTCTTGGATAGATCAACCCTTTGCACATTTTGGGAACACGGATCGATGCTCGCAGCATTGCCAAACTTTTCATGGGGAAGCCCTCACCATCACTCTTGATGACTGTAGCCTCACACAGGTTCATTCCAGCCTTGCTGGTAGAAGAGAATGTTGACAACACGATGTGTCAACGCTTAGCCAGCCTAAACACTGTGTCGTATCTCACACAGGTACCGTTTACGCTCACAATGTGTGAAAATAGTGAGCAGAAAATAGAGGTCACTGTTGGCCGCTTGCACGGCAACATGTATTGCCGACCGATAAGACGGACGCATTGCTGGCCGCTCGCTCGAGCAATTGTATTGCGTACCGATTGCGCGGCGAGATTGCCTGCCGCTTGTACGATCAAGTGATTGCTGGCCGATCGTGCGGACGCATTGCCTGCCGCTTGCACGGTCGATTTTATTGCGTGCCGATCGAACGGGAAGACTGTCTTCCGCTTGCACGGCATTTTTATTGTTGACCGCACGCACGGTACATCAAAAACTATGCAGTGCGCTCAGACGGAGGAGCTTTAATGAGGACCGCCCGCACGGCGCGAATCCCTGAGTGGAATTTTTTTGTAACAATGCACAGAATAAAATGGCCATTGAAGATACTAATATGGAAATAATATATGTTTCAGTCCTCAGCGTCGCACTTTAGATTGCGGAGTCCTGTTGTAATTTAGCACATGAGGTCAGCACCATAAGTTTATGAAAAATCGCTTTCTGAGTTTTACACGGTTTTAGGATCTTAACAAGGAATTTGAGCTCAAAGCAAACTATATCAAACTAGTCAGCATATCCGGCTCCGCTCAGCCCCGTCAATACGCCATGATAAACATCGCCATACCTTAACTCTATCCTCTGTTTCATTGGGAATGGCGGGTGGAAAAGGGGGGAAGGAAGGAAATTCGATCGCAATTAGGCCTGGGAAATTATTAAAGAGCACGCTCGCAAAGAGTTGCAGAGTTCAGAGCCCCACCCACAACCCACTACTCCCAGATACAGGGTTTTCAGCATTTTTACGCTCTTTTGCTTTTATATCTCAATTTTTCGAGATTGCGTCATTTTCGTAATCAGCATGCTTCATTAATCCATATCCCGGATCTCAAACCACAGCTTAAAGTTTACAAATAATTGATAGCTTGTTAATAATAGATTTCAAAATGTAAGCTATGACATTTCTCCTTCTCTGAATTGTGTGTGTGCAAAGTTTGGTTCGGATTGGTTCAAAAATGGAATTTTCTCTATATGGAACAGAAAGACAGACGGACAAACAGGCAGGAAGACACAGAAAGAGACAGAAGGACAAGCAGACAGACAGAGAAACAGACAGAGACAGTGGCAGACAGCCTGGCAAACACACAGACAGAGAAACAGACAAAGACTAATACAAGCAGACAGGCAGGCAACGACAGAGACGAAGACAGAAAACAGATAGAGACAGACAGACAAGAAACAGTTTTTCCAGCGTTATGGCACTATGAATCTTCTTATTCAATCTGGCTAAATCTGCTTTTGCTCAAGGCCGTCCTTGAAGCACTGCAAAAGATAGAATTTTCAAAACAGCAAACATATAGCTCTTCGGATCCCTGAGCTCGCATTTGAATTTCTCGATTTGAATTTTTATCTTAGAGGCACCCGATTTTTGCGTCTCTGCTAAGCAAATTCTGAAAGAAATTTTCTTGCGAAATTCTCCACCATGTACATAGGAAGCATTCAATTTCAATTTATTAGCTGCTGTTAACGACAGTTGGGGGTGCTAATGGTCCGCTGCGCGGCGGCCCAGGAGTTCCCAAAGCCTCGCCTCATTTTCTTGCAGAGATAGTTAGCACCTCCAAGGGACCTTCGCACCTTAAGACAGCTCCGCCCACTTGCTCCGCCCACTAGCTAACCTTTTCCGAGTTATGCAGCTTGGAAAATAGTCCCATTGTGTTCTGCTAAATGGTAAATAATGACGGACGGAACGTGACAGATTTGGTGGGTACCAAGTGATTAGGGGGTAGACGAGTTGTGGAATAGGTTTATTGGCACGGGCGTAGATTATTCGAGAAGAAGTCTATAATGCAGTCGGGGGTTCCTTATATACAAGGATAGAAGGCGGAGCTTGCCCGGGTACAAAGTACAACGTAGACGGCGTACATGGCTTAAAAGGAGTTGCCGCCGTTCAGCTACACTCCTGGTGCACAGGTGTCAATCATTCTTAAGTGATTAGATACTCGAGAATGCATGGCGTACAATTTAGCCTATGGGGTTCCATAGGCGATGTTGAAAAATGGATTGATTAGGTTGATGACACAGAAATCATCAACAACAGATGAGAAGTTATAAAATCTACTTGTGGGCATCGCTTTGCAGGAAGCAAAGATACTTCCGTTTTCTCGATTTTCAACCAGAGAATGTGTATATATGTACGTTTGATGCGCATCCATTGAGCAAGCTGTACGAGTGCAGTTTTTGATGGAATTTTTTCGTTTTTGGACAGTTGGATTTTCTAGTTTTGGCTACAACTTAGCGTAGATCAAATTTGATGCAACTTTCCAAAACACTACCTTGTAGAGCTTGATGTACTCTATCGAATCAAAACCACAGAATCTATCCAGAATAAGCGAAATTTGACCTAATGCGGTTTAGACCAGTTTTGAAGCAAAATCTTGACTTATTAACCGAATAATTTGAGCTTCTCATCATTTTCAACAACATTTTCACAGAATTTGAATTCGTTTTCAATACTGATTCCTCTTTGTTTCGATTAATGTTCTGCTTTTCATGATGATGAATGATAAGAATGAGGTTTTTCTGGAGAGATCTGTTAATACTTTTGCAATTAATTTTAGCTAAATATCTGCTAAAATTTTGTAAACTTCGTTATGTTGACAGCTCGGAGAAACAAGTTTCAAGGATTGCACTGCAAATTTCTTATTGAGTCTGGTTGTAAATAGTGCCAAAGTTATAGAATTGAAACGCGATAGTTATCCTCAAGAAATCTTTGATACGTTCATAGCAATGCTCCGTACGTTTGGCAAGCTTTAATCTATAGTAATGCAGAAACAAAAACTGAGAAACATCCTCTGCATTGAAAATCAACTTGTCAACGCATTTTCTTCACGAAACGCAGTCTCGAACCAATAATATAATCACTGCTTACCTAGAGTATGCAAAGTTTCTTTGGGGGTGGGGGGGGAGAGGTATGTTCAAAGTGTCTTTTCTTATAAAGTGCACTAATTAGGAGATTTGCCTCACAAGATGACGATTTTTCACAGATTTTCGTTGCATGCCTATGCTACTCCTTCAGCTCGCAGCCTTCGAATAAGACCAGTGAAGAAGTGGAGCGGGAGCAGGGTTTGACCTCTGTTGCGCGAAGGTGCGAGGAGCCTTCTCGAGTGTGAATGCTGGTGCGAATGGAGATGCTAGGAACTCCTGCGTCCCATCCGGTCCGCTGAAGTAAGGAGCGTAGACGTAGCGTAGCCAGTCGAGAGACAAGATCTTATGCGAAAAACAAGGAAGATGAAGATTGGCAGCCGACAAACCTTTTCAATACTTATAACAAGAGTCTATCTTTCCTTTCTCACATCGT